CAGAATTATTCTATACTAGAGGGCTTCGCCCCCCCCCCCCCCTCCTGCGTGTAACCGAGCGAATGTGACCAAATATGATATTTCATATACAGATTTGGTGGAAACGCTGGACATCCCCCCATGGACACCCCCATACTTCAGCGTCCCTTCTTTTTTAGCGTCCCCTGAATAGCTTCCCCTGAATTTTGGCATCCCCGGAATTCCCCCCCTCCCCAATCCGTTATTTTTTTATTATATAGAGACCTACAGAGATATGAAAGCGAAAATTCCGAAAAATTCTCACCAGGATATTTTCGCTTGTGCTCGGCGTCAACCTCACGTGCAAGCGCAAAGTATTTCTCCTTCTCGTATTTTTCCAAACCCTTCCAGAGTGAGCCCAATCTGTGGGAAAAACATTATAGGTTGAAGTTTTATTCTTTATTTTGTTATCTTTTTCGGGGACTAGCCTAACGCTGATATCCTTGTTCGACTCCCTCGGGTTATCAGCGGCCAGTTTTTTCCTCCAATCATTGGCGAAGAGCATAAAAGCATTGGCTGGACGTGGTATCTTTGCTTTTCCCCCCGACGATTTCCCGCCGCGTTTTGGTGCGCTTGCGTTGTCAGTTGAATCTTGTTGATATTGCAGCTGGACCTGCAGAGCGTCACTGGGGGCTTCGCGTTTGCGCGAACGGCTTGGTTCAATGCGAATTTGCTTCTTTGGGTCCCGACGGGGCGGGCGGGTGTTTTCATCCGACGGACTGTTGATCAGCTGTTTTGGGGTCGAAGGGAGAACAAGCTCATCCGTGGATGACGATCTCGAACGATCTTTAGACTTAATTCCATTTTGACCTTGAATTGAGAAAAAATTGAAAACTCGAGAGATTGGAGAAATTGAATGGTGAAAATATGACTGCGTCAATCAATCCATATACAGAGTGAACAATTCTAGTTTCAAGAACCAAGTTACTGATATTATCCCCATTCAAAAAAAATAATAATGGCAGGACGTATAAGGGCATTTTGTAGAAAATTCTATTGGATTTTTATTGAACTTCTATGGAAAATTCTGTCAACTTTTCGTCGATTCTATTGAAAAGTTCCGCAGATTTTCTCCTGTTTGTTTTTCAGTAGAGATGTTCAATAATAGTATATTACAGGTCAAGCACCGTACAAAGACTCGTTGACGAAATTAACTTTAGCCGCGCGAGCCGAAGGCGAGCGACGGTGAAGTTCATTTCGTCAGGGAGTCTTTTTTACGGTGCATGACGTGTACGATATTTTTCATGCTTCTGTGTGGCAAATTCACGCCCACGACAAACCTAACTTGCGCGGAAAAAGTGAATTTGCCGCGCAGAAGCATGAAAAAAATACTTCATAGCACAGATCGAACTAAAAACTTTTTTTTCTTCTTGTCACGAAGAGGTAGAACGACAACTAATTATAACTCTAATTGTAGGATTATTTCCGTAAAGAGAGAAAATTTTCTACAAATTTTACTAAAAAGTCTTGCACAGTTTCTACTGGAATTGTGCATTTTTTGAGTAATCATTTAATTATCTAGAAAATGCATAGTTTCAGTTTAATCACACATTTTCAAAATAAGTTTTTAGATAGATTAAGAAGTCTTTACGAGTCTTTATGAGCCTTTACTCCTTAGGAGTACTACCGTTGTTGGCCTTGAGGAAAAAATCCATGAGAAAGTGATGATATTGTTGCAAGGCTAGAAGAACGTATGAAAAATGGAATGAACATAATACGAATATCGATAAACCAGTAAAGAAGGGATGAAACAGTTGGAGTTGAGTCTGGTGGTTGAATTATTTCAATAATGAGAAATTTGATACGAATTGTCAAACCATGTCTTTTGAGGCCCAGGAAATTTTCTACAAAAAAAGGTTCTATGAGAATTGTCCTCGGAATCACTCCTTAATGAGATAAACTAATGAAACGAGTGAAGAATGAAATCGTTAATCATTTTTTAAAATTACAATCATCGTTAATAATTCAGTGATGGAAATCAATCATTTTATTTACCAATGTCAGACTATCTCCTTTATAGATAGAAAAATTTCCTCTGAATTTCCTCTGATTTTTTTCCTCCTTTTTCATCTTTAATACAACTATATAAGTAAGCAGAATTCAGAATTTGGCATGACGCGATTCATCCCTTCATTTTTACTGAAAAAAAAATAGATAAATAAACGTCGAGTACCTTTCTCAGAAAAAACGATGAACTGGTAGTTACTCATTGTTTCCCACCAACAAAAATCCCTCAGTGATAGCCTTCAATAATTCCTCCAGCTAATTCTCAACTCCACAATGAAAAATATCTAGAATAAATGATACTAGAAACAAAATGCTTATCCAGAAATTGTTGGGAATATTGTACGGTTGTTGGGAGTAAAAAAAGACAACGTGAATTCTCTCTTGACCCGTCAGATTGTTTCGTTGTCAAGTGAGAGTCCTCTCTGTTTAACGTCGAATGTATCTTTTGTTTTTTCCTAGCCGTGTGTCACCGAAATAAAAGAAAGAGAGAAAAAAAGAGACATGGAAGAGGCAAATGGGAGAGCACTTTTTGCACTTCCGATTATTCAACAAAGGACTGCCGATTGTCGTTGGCCCTGATACTGCTGCATTCATGTCTGTGTCCCTATTTTTGACGTTTGAGGGAGGATAAAAATCTTTCGATCATGTGCTCTCCATTCTGCAACGCTAAAAAATGTCAGATCGATTACTACGGAGTACTGGGGCTCACGAGGGATTGTATAGACCTGGACATTAAAAAAGCGTATTGAGAATTTTCTAAACGTTTTTTTCATACTTATACTTAATTAAAACATTTATTAATTGACTTTGTGGCACTCCTTCAGTAATTCATGAGAAACAATTTAATTGAGTGGATTACATTAATAGATCAAACTCACTACCCGCTTTTCAGTTGATGTGAACAGCGATGAATAATTCATTAATTATAGTTGATTTCGTTTTTAAGGAGAAAAATCAATGTGGCGAAATGGGATTGTACTTTGAGTTGCGAATATCTTCGGAGGGGAGTAGTTAATAATTATTATTGCGAGATTTTTTTTTTTGAGTAGGATTTTTTGAACTATAGAGAAGGTATTCCCATATTTTGGCAATAGTGTTGTATAAATAATTTTGAAGATATCTTCGATAACAACACGTTGAGAGCAATTTATCATAAGACGTTTTTTATAATGTTTATAATTTTTTTCTCTCAGCCTAGTAGCTTAGAAAGTATTTTTTTAATTATACACATGGAGTTCTTGTACTTTTTTTTTCTAATTCAGCAATTTTTCACTCTTCAGATTCTTTTACAAATATGTGCCAAATGATTTAACAAGAAATCTTCCATGTTGAAGATTTCAGAGATCTAGTGAATCCGCTCGAAAATTCTTAGCTTTCTATTGGTTTTGAACTTCTATTGAAAATTCGTTTATTTTTTTTCAACAGGAATGCTCAACGGTAAATATTTTGTTACTCCATTAGGATATGTTTTTTTAGAAATTCATCGGCTCGAATTTTCCAAGTTTTTCTGTTTGATTTCTTCCAATAAGAAAAAATGGAGCGAAAAAAACTTACAAAATTTATGTCAATAAAAATTTATGAAAATTTTCAATAGTAGTTCGATAGGAATTCAATACAAGTTTCCAGCGAATTCACCAGGTTTTTCTATGAAATTCTCGGTGCGTGTTGAAATTTGCAAAAAAGTCAATTTGGAATAGTTGGCAAATTTTAATTTTTTATTATTCAGACGTTCCTTTAGTTACAGACGTCTCGCAATTCATTATCATCCTGTGGGGGCAAAGAATGAAAATTTTCTGGAAGTTTTTACTCTGGCTGCCGAAGCGTACGAGGTCCTTTCAGATCCATTGAAGCGAGCTATCTACAACCAGTACGGCGAGGCGGGTTTGAAAAGCGGCCTACCAGGGCCACACGGACACATTCCACCTTATGTATTTCATGGAGACCCAATACAAACATACAAGTACTCATTTCTTTATCTACAATGTATTTTGAGAATTGTGTTAATTTGTCCGGTAAATATTTCTCTTGGAAATAAGTGAGTTTTTTGGGAGTGAGAGTCCTTACGCCGATTTACTGGACTTCCTTGAGAATAAGGAGTTATTAGAGAGGATTACTGGAGGTGAAGGGGTCAACAGGAAGGATGATGATGTGGTGATACCATTAGAATTACAGTTAATCGAGGTAAATCCAATTCGTAATCGAAGGGTAATATTGACTGACAATTTTTCGATCCATATTATTGAAACGATTTCTCGGTAAAACCCAAATAATTTACGGGTTCATCAGTGTTTTTCTTTCAGGTCAATTGATTATCTTTTCGTTAATATTCCATAACTGTCGAGCTAGTAAGTATATTTTGATGAAAAACAATCCAATCGCATTATTAATTCCATGATCCAAGAAGTACTTATGGCCCTCTGTTTTTCCTTGCTACATGGAGAAAAATGTTCAGTAAAAATTACGGAACTCACAGTTCGCTCACGGATTACGGAATCGACTTAGAAAATTTAACTGACCGTATCGTAATGTTTCACAAGAGATTCAGGTAAAAATTACGAAACGCTCTGGAAAAATTACGTGATTACAAGTATAAATTGCGTGACAATTCCGGAAAATTTCCTACAACCACATTTTGCTCCGGGATTACGGAAAAGATACGTAATTTTTATTGAATATTTCTCTCCGTGCATTCATTTCACTTGAATGGTTCCTTTCAAAAGTCTATTCAAAATGTTTGGTGTCTTTCACAGTGTTCCTTGGATTTTTTCGAAAAGAATAAAGTCCTCAATTCCCCATTTCAAATTCCTGATGGTTTCTCTGATGGTAACCCATCAGTTAATGACCCATTATCCATTTGATGACAGCATTGATTGCCGTTTAACTTCGAATAGTTCACGCTTGGATATTGTGACTTGATTTGATAGATATTATCATAAGGAATAGTTTAACGCCAAAAAATTTCGATTCGGTCCTGTAGTTTTTGAGATATTAAGGAAACCAAATTTTTGAGAAATTGCTGTATCTCAAATACTACTTGTCCTATTGAGCTGAGATTTCTCCCAGATGTCCTCCCAAATGATAGCAATTATGTGACAAAATTTCAGGTTTCATTGTTTTTCTATGTGAAAAATAATACACGTAAATGGGCCTACATAGAAAAATACATCACAAATAAATCGAAGAAATTTCTTACTCTTTTATGTATTCGGATTTCATGAGATGTCCCCGATTGCAAGCGATGTGAATTAAAATCATCTGAAATCGATAAAATCCCAGGATTTCACTGATTTCACTTGATTTCCACTGATTTCATACGGTTTCAGTCCTGAGTAACAATGATTTCACAAATGAATGATCTCTCGCCAAAGATTAATTTTGGAGAAATTTTGGTTTTACATCGCATAAAAAATTTCTACATCATTCAGATAATCTTTCAATTCCCAATACATCAACACTTTAATATATTTAATTTTGTAATTTTTTCGTAATCCAAGTTTTTTCATTTTTCACAGATTTTTCGTGGAGCATTGAAAAAAAAGAAAATTGAGAGATTAGTTTTCGCTAACCCCGAGAAGACATTTACAAAAATGCAAGAAAAAATATTCACCATAACCATAGATCCCGGATTGAAAACAGGTACAAAAATAGTATTTCCTGAAGAAGGAGATCGAAATCCGAATACAATTCCCGGTATGATGAATTTTCTCTTATCCAATTCGATTCATTCTTTATCTTTCTGCTCTTTCAATTATCTCACCAAGACATTTATTTCTTGCAGCAGATATCATCTTCATTACGGCGGATACCCCCCACGAAACCTGCCAACGAGAAAACGACGATCTCCTGATGATCAGAGACGTCACCCTCAACGAAGCCCTTACAGGGACAGTAATTAAAATCGATACCCTGGACGCCAGGACTTTGCGCATCCCAATAACGTCAATCATAACGTAAATTGCATTATAAAAAATGAGTTTTGATATTGGAGATTGATAAATTGAATTCCCAAGCAGACCGAACTATCGAAAAGTGGTGCCGGGAGAGGGACTGCCTATGATGCATGATCCAACTCAACGTGGGGATCTTGTAATAAGTTTTTTAATTGAGTTTCCCATGTATTTATCAGTGATGAGTAAGAATAATGTGAAGGAAGCTCTTGACGCAAGAAGACTTAAAATTATACCCGATTGTACCTAACATTTTTCAATAAATAGATATGACTAGTAATAACAACAAGTGCCATTTCTCTCATTTTTGCTTCCGAATGGAAGCTTTGTAATCGTTCGATTTTCATATTCTCTAATTTTCATTAGAATGGGTCTGAAACGTAAAAATACGAAGTTTGGCGACAATGTCTGTATGTGAATATGTCCACCGCCGCCTTCCCGATGGTCAATTTTGAGAAAATTGAGTAATTAAGTGGCCAAAATAATGCAAAAAAAGTTGAAATTTTGTCAGATTAAGTATAGGTCTTAATGAGGACTGACTCAGTGCACACTTTCAGCCCGATCGGTCAAGTAGTTTTTGAGATAAAGCGATTCGTTTTTAAATCGTTTTTCACGAATATCTTTAGAACTATTGGACCGATTTAGATTTTCTTTCTTTGAAAATATTCGTCTTGATGTCCTCTACCTAGATCAATAAAAACATATATACCCGTCCATACAAAGTTTTTGAGATATTTCCCCTTTTCTGTTTTTTCATTAAAGTCCCTGTACGTGCGCTAACGTGTGCAAAATCGAGATATCCACTTGTTTTTCAAAATACTCGCTCATGATTTTTTATTTCCTATGCTCTAATTTAATTCCTTTCACAGTTTTATATCTGACATGTATTGATTATAACTCTTGCAATTATCACGAATATCCACTCATTAACTTAACTCATTTTCTTCCCACTATTGCATAAAAAGTTTAGATGAAAATCATAGAGAGAGAGAGAGATAGAGAGCAATAAGGTAAATGTGCCAGAACTTGAAAACTCACGACAACGCGATCACTTTTGACGGCCTCAAAAAAAATTCCTCCGCATGTGTTAGTGTTTTACCGATTAATTACGTTATCGGAGAAAGTAAATCCGGAAGATGTACGGATATGTTCGATTACTGCGATTTATTTATAAACCAATTATTATCTGATTAAAATTAATTATCTGCACGTTGGTTCACGAAAATCGTTGAAGTAGCTACGTGACGTATACTTTGAGAATCAAAATTTCGAATCCTTTTTTTTAGTTAAATGATTATTCTTCAAATATCGATTTCTAACATGCTTTATAACGCGATTATCCTGAGTATAATAATTCATTCGCTGAAAAATAATGGTTTTACCTTTTAAAAACATAGGTTCGAGATTTTGATTATCGTAGTAAATCCCATAGCCAGTTGAGGAAATTCGTGAAAATTCGCGAAAAGCTGAATCATAGAATATTTATGCACACATAAATATGATTTTTTTTCTAAATATTGTTCAATTACATTTTCGACAAAACATGCGAAATAATTTCCAACCGAGATCCGTTAATGGAAAATTGTAAAGATTGTGAAGCCCTCATTACAAAGAAACACAAATGGAATTTTGTAGTATTACTTTATTAATTACAATGACTTCGATAACTGCCTTCAAACATTAATAGGGAGAGGAAATCAATGCCCAGAGTAATTTTAGAAGTTATCATACCTCCAAGATTCTGTTCTATTAAATTTTCATCTGCTATAGTAAACCTTCGCCCTACTGTCATGCATCCACTTATTGTTAGTGCCTACACTCAATGATGTTTATCGTTTTGTAGCTCAAAACAGCTCATCTTTAGCGTATAAGGTATTTGGAACCTTTTTCAAATATTTTGATGAAATAAAAAAATTGAATGCATTTAAATTCGTCATACTATTCGTTATGTGTCCAATACTGCATCTTCGTCACGCGGAATAAAATAAAACATTCTAGTAATTGAAAATTGCAAGCTTTTCGAAGGAATGTAAAAAATGTAAAAAACCCGTTGAGGTAATTTACGTAAATTACGTCGGTAAAAAACGGTGTAATTTACCATCGTAATTTACACGCCCAACCCTGGCCGTCACTGACGCCATCCATCAAGCGTGCAACTGCAGGTACAGTGAATCTTCTCCCTCCCATGATAAATTACCAACACCTCCAAATAACGTGTCTTCACGTATTCACCCTGATCAAGCTCTTGAATTTTGTCCTCCAGTGCTATCGCAGCTCAACTCAATTTTCAGGCGATGTGGCACTACAAGTCATCGAAATTCACGTTTATAACCTCTCCACATCATCAACAGTCTTCACTGAATAACTCCAGTGAACAGCTTCACATGTATTCATTCTCTCTGTGATAAAAAAAACTCCACCTACTACCAAAAAATATCAAAAGTGTCACGCTAGAGTGAACCAATCAAATTGTCAAAACCTCGAAGATATGTTTGTGATCAATACCACAAGATGAATGTATTAATAAACATATTTGGTGTTTTATATTTTTTGAGCATTTGTAATTTATCGTCTGCCTGGGATAACGAGGAGTTGGAGGTCTTCGATGTCGTCGAGGAGATCAATCAAAATTTTTATGAACTCCTCGGAGTGCCGCAGGTATTGTAAAGAAATTAACTATGAACGAATCAGTAGCAAAAGGATAACAGAAGTTATACCAATTTATTTACTCCTTTTCTACGATTTTATGAATGTGAAAATTCATAACTGATAATGGAGGAATGATATTAGGAGACCACTGAAGTAATTCACCCAATTCTACATAAAATTCCAATGAATTTCTGTACAAGAAATGTCTGAGATTCATAGAGTAAGGAACGAAATTTCAAAAATTGTTGAAATAATTTTGAAAATAATCATGAAAGTACGAATTTTAAAAGCGAATACTAGGGGTCTTCTTGTAAAACATAATATTGTCGAATGAATGATCTCTTTCGTAAAATAACTGGCAAAATTCACATTTAAATATGTCTTCATGAAATTTTTTTGAATTTTAGGATGCAAATGGCACGACAATTAGAAAAGCATTCCGTCAATTATCTTTACAACTTCATCCAGATAAGAACGATGCAGCGGATGCAGATGTTAAGTTTAGAAATGTGAGTAGAATAAAAGAACCTGAAACATACAATCTACCTGAAATATTTCATCACAAAAATGTTATTTCTAAAAACAGCTCGTGTCTGTCTACGAAGTTTTGAAGGATCCAAACCGCAGAAAACACTACGACAATGTGCTCATCAACGGTCTTCCCAACTGGAGATCCGCAGTATACTACTACCGTCATGTACGGAAGATGGGATTGCTGGAGATGAGTGTGATCCTTTTCAGCATCATCACAATTGGCCAATATCTCGTGGCTTGGGCTGCGTACTTTGAAAAACGCTACACATACGAACAAGTATTAGGTAGTAAACTCCAAAAGCTCCAAAAGAAAAATAAAAAAGGGAAGATGGAGGTCCCAGACTTGGCAGATATTCTGCAGAAAATTCCAACACCTAGTGTTTACAACACTTTACCCTTCCAATTACCCTGTTGGACATTTTATTCCATAGTTGGAATTCCCTCGACGATACGAGCGATCAGAGACATGATTGAGGAGAGAAAACGCAGAAAAAAAGAGGAAGAAGAGGCTGCCCTAGCTGAGGAGGAGGAGTCTGAACCTGAACCAGTCCCCAGAGGTCCCAGAAGACGGAGACAAGGGTTTACACCTCAAGAGCACAGTGGAAATTCAGCAGAATCCGTTAAGAGAGAATCCACGCGGCCAAATCATGTACACGAGAAATCGAAAATTGTTGGGGGTCTCTGGACTGATGATGATCTTCTTGAGTTGATAAAACTTGTCAAGAAGTTTCCTGGAGGGACTCCAGACAGATGGGAGAAAATCGCTGATACGATGAATAGGACTGTTTATGAAGTGACGCACATGGCGAAGAAGGTGAAGGACGAGGGGCTTAAACCTAGTCAGTGTACTGATGAGCCTCCAGTTGATCCGCAGCCAAAGAAAGTGAAGACACGAGCGGAGAGTATTGAGGGGACTGAATGGAGCCAGGAACAGCAGAAGGCACTGGAGTCTGCTTTGCTGAAACATCCGAAAGGAGCTGTAGGAGATAGATGGGAGAAAATTTCTGCCTGTGTCGAGGGAAAAACAAAGGTGTGGATTTTTCAGTTTTCTATGAATTCATTCCAGTCAATTATAGTTTGTTAAAATTACGGATCTTTAGTCATTTTCAGCAAGTCTTATTTTTTTATGTTCGAGGAAAATTCAATAATTTTTTTTGGCTGATATTAAAGAAAAATTAATCGCAACAGTCTCGCAAGAAATGAATAAACAAGTTTTTCTTTATACACGGGCTCTTATGGGATTTATGGTGAAATTTACAAATAGAAATAAAAATGGAAGGTAATGTGCAAAACTATACTGAATCAAATGGTCAGAGAAAAATTTAGAATACCCGGGCAAAAAGGGGAAATATTTGCAAAATTCTATCCCATATAAGTGCATGTTAGCGCATGCGTTTGGTGGATTTTGTCTACTCCATTTGTAAATAATAAATGTGGGTTGGTGAATTGAAATTGTTATCAAGATATAGGGAATAATTTCATCTCCCAGTTGAAATAAATCAATTTTTTTTAATACTCGCGATTTTGGATAAATATCGTTCATTGGTTATCTGACAAAAAACAATCTCGACATGGAATAGTATTTGTTACGCGTGCATGCGAAAAAGTGTAACTTTACACACTAGTAACACAATATACTATTAATTACGAAAAATGTTGGTCTCACACGTTCCTCCTTCAGTCTAAAAAATTACAGAATTCTCATCGAACATGAAAACAACCGATTCTCGGAAAATTTATCAACATCCTTAGTAATATTTCGAAAATAAATTCTTTGAATAATGCAGCCCGAATCTACATGGAGTTACTTAAAATTACTCAATTAATCAACATGTATTCTATTCTTCAGGAGGAGTGCCAACTAAGATATCGACAATTAGTAGAACTCGTAAAAAAGAAGTCGCAACCCCAGGAACAGCCCCAATGAATCTCCAAATATCTCCGTATGTAAAAAGCAGCAGACTCTTATCACCATCAGCTTACTAAGACAGTATCACTACTCCCAGGACCAAAAAAACTCTGTAATGACTTCATCTCTAATTGAAAGCCCATTCAATTCAAAAGCACTAATGAATCAACAAATCTTCCTACACTCAAAAAGCCCAAAAATTCTTCAGGTGTAAATAAAAACCCAAAATTTTCATTGACAAAAAAAAACAAGATGAGAATTTATTGTAATTTTGTTATGAATAATTGTCTTGAATGTATTTATTTAATAAATTTATTGATCGAACAAAATTCGTCGATTAATGCTCCCTCAATTGAGAACGAAGCATATTGATATTTACAGAAAAAATCATGATTAACCATAATCAATTAAAATTTAATTTTTTAATTTCGTCGTCGTCGAACTCTGGATATCCTCCAGGCATTAGGCTCTTCATATTTATTATACAAAGGCTCGAGACGTTGATTCTTCTTGAATTTACTCAACTTTGTTGGATCACTAAATTTGAAGAAAGCAGGAGCAAACTCCACCAACCATTTAGGATCAATAGTCGTCACTTCCCTCATATACTCCTTCGTCGTCTGCACGAGCTCATGATAAATCACCCACTCGGGTTGTCTATTGAACAAAGCACTACTAGGATGAATATAAACCACTTGACTATCAACAAGTGTTCTGTAACCCTCCTGGGGATCCTTCTTGGCAGCATTCCTGAAGAATCCTGAGCAGACAGCCTTCTGAATCCTTACCGTATTCTTCGCAGCAGATACAACATCCAACTTATGCCTATCCATGATGCCCAGCAGCTGTTTCCTTACATCCTGTGCTCGTTTCAAAGTCCTAATCTGTACGAAATTCTCATAACACCAGGGATTACTAAACTTATTATTTCTCCAGGAATTATAAACAGCAAGAAGAGTTAAATGGTCTCCTTCAGTCTGATTGAATTTTGCTTTCTTTTGATCTGCAAAAGCCTGCTTGTCCTTGGGTCTATAGAATACATTTTGTACTGACAACATACTGACAATTGTTAATATTTCATCAGAGCACTGAAGATGAACACTCATGATCAGCATTTTTGATAAATTAGGTTCCAGTGGAAATTCTGCCATCCTCCTCCCCAGTCTTGTCAATAATCCCTCATTATCAAGAGCACTGAGACTGTGTAATGATTCCAGAGCCATGATGAGGGACTCAACAGGTGGAGCATCCATAAAATCAAAATGTAATAAATCATTGATGCCCATGGTTTTCAATTGTAGTACAGTCGTTGCTAAATTCGTTCTCTGAATCTCTGGAACTGGAGTTGGTAACATTTCGTCTCTGTAGGCTCGTTCTGTGTACAATCGATAACATTTTCCAGGTCCAGTACGTCCAGCCCTTCCAGCTCGTTGTTTGGCAGCGGCCTGACTGATCGGAGTGACAATGAGACTGTCCATTCCAGTTTTAGAATTGTAAACTTTCTGTTTAACAAACCCTGGGTCGACTACGTAATAAATTCCATCAATTGTTAAACTAGTTTCTGCAATATTTGTAGCTATTACTACTTTTCTTGATCCAGGTGGAGCAGGTTCGAAGATCCTGGTCTGCATTTCGGAAGGAAGGGCCGAGTAAACTGGCAGTATGATTAATTCAGGAACGTCAGGACCCAGTGACTTCATTCTTTCATAAAGAATTTCACAAGCTGTGTCGATTTCCTCCTGACCAGTCAAGAACAGTAGAATGTCACCAGGAGGTTCTCGTAAATGAATCTGCATCACTGTTATCAGAGCAGCATCAAGATAATCAGTTTCAGGCTCTTTAGTATACATCACTTCAACCTCGAATGTTCTTCCAGGAATCGTAAAGATTGGAGCCTCGAAGAAGTACTGAGAGAACTTGACAGCATCTAGAGTTGCACTGGTGACGATGAGTTTAAGGTCTGGACGACGTCCCACAGCCTGTTTCAATAATCCAAACAAAACGTCAGTGTGAATGGTACGTTCATGAGCCTCATCCAACATAATTACTGAGTACGTTTTCAGATCCAGATCCACAAGACATTCTCGAAGTAACATACCGTCTGTCATGTATTTTATATTTGTTTCAGGACTCGTACAATCTTCAAATCGAATTGTATATCCCACTTCCTGTCCTAGACGACATCCAAACTCTTCAGCAACTCTCTTAGCTACTGACATGGCTGCTACTCTCCTAGGCTGACTGCAACCAATTTTTCCTCGAGATGTGAATCCAGCTTCTGCTAAATACTGAGTTATTTGTGTAGTTTTTCCAGATCCAGTTTCTCCAATGACGATTAAAATCTGGTTATCAGTGACAGCTTTCACTAAATCGTCCCTAAGTTTGTAGATAGGGAGGCTCTGACGTTGCTCCAATAGTGTGAGATTCGTCTTTTTCCCGAAGGAAGATTTTTTACCCCCGATCACGTGTTTTTTCCATTCAGGAAGGTCCTGAGTCTGGAGTCCAATTCCCCGCATGTTGGAAGCAACTTGACGACTCTCAGCATCTGGCAATGGATCCACCCAGTTTTTATTCAATCCTGCAGGTGCAGAGTCCATTTCCTGCTCTCGTTGCAGCATCTTTTGCTCCCTTCGTTCCTTAGCTAATGCACTCTGCATCATAGCAGCTTGAGCCAAGGATCCATCAGGGTTCTTGACAATCCTTACTGGACTGAGATCACCCAGGGCACGACCATGCCCATGGAGGAATGGAGGTTCTTCCTCCACGAGTTCAATTTCCACGTCTTCCTCTTCGTCGTCTTCACGAGGTAAAACTCCAGTTTCCATGTCGAATTCTGGAAGTTCACTCCTGTCAATGCATGAGGCAGCTAACATCTGCTTTATTTCCCATTTTTCAGGAGATGAGAGACGTTGCACTCGAGGTCGAGAATAGGTTTCGTCCTCATCGAGGTTTCCCTCAAGTTCTAGCAAGGAAGTCGGTCGATCTGGATTTCTCAAGTGTTTTTCATCCTCTTCAGCTCTGCTAATCGCAAGGATTGGATTTAAATCACGTCCAGAGTCCTGATCCACGTCTTTCATGCTCAAAGAGATCTTCTGTCCAGCCACACTGAGAACTTTCACGTAGACTTTCTGACCCTTGGAGACGACGTCACTTGCACTGGCCACTCTCCCCTCCCGCCTCAACTGAGAAATGTGGACTAGACCCTCTGATCTTCGCCTGAGACCCTCCAGTTGAACGAAACATCCAAACTGGACGACATTTGCTACCTTTCCAGTGTAGACTTTACCCACCTCTGGATCCATAGGGATAACTTCTTCGTTCGAACGTGAACGTGAACGACTTCGTTTGTGTTTGGAGTCTCTGGAGTAATGATCGCGAGAGTTGTATTTACGATCCGGTTCTGGGGATCTGCGACGACGTCGCTCTCGGTCCCTGGACCTGGAACGATCACGAGAACGTCGACTGCCCCGATTTCGATGTCTTGATCGGTCACGAGAGCGGGATTTGTGCCTTCTGCTTCGTCGAGAGGGACTTCTAGACCTGTGTTTCCTGTCTTTTGAACGCTCGCGTTTAGAGTTCTCCGTTTTCTCTGGTGATTGACTGCATTTCCGCGCTGTTACAGCTTCTGAGCCATTGCTTTGTAATGAAGAAGGCGCGAATTCCTCCAGAGATGCCATTGCGTCTTCAACAATGTCCACATCGTCAGCGGGTATGGGGGCCTGGTTTGCTGCTGCTAAGCCTGGGAATTTATGTGCCAGCTCGTCTTGTTTGGTTTTGATCACGGGATCTGAAACCAATTTTAGGGGCTTCATGTGCTGGATTATACGCAGAATGTTGGCGATGAAGGAGTCCGAGAATGTGTCTGCTCCATTTTCCATGAGAGCTTTTTTGAAGGTCTCGAAGGTTGTGTTTTTCTTGGACAGATGAATTATGAATTGAGCGAGGATTTTGTGATCGTCATTCTGGCCAAAATGGTTTTCTAACTCTGCACAGATTTTTGAGACCAAAGAGAGGCGCTCTAGCTCCGCTACCTCGTCAATCTCCATTTTTTAAATTTGGCTTGTCACTATTTTATTCACTGCATTTAATTTATCAGTTTGTAATGAACGTAATTTTCAGGATTATTCAGAATTGCACGAATGTCAACAACAAAGTAAAACATTTATGATTTGAGGTTATATGGAGGGGTCAGCCCCCCTGGGTATCTATATAGTAAACTTGATATGGTGGGGATTTTCATATTTCACTTGACGCTCGTGGGGGACGCAACTTGACAAGCGGATTTTTGTTTAAAAAGTGCGGTCGAAGTTTTAACCTCTCAGTTAATCAAAAATATACGTTCCTCATTAACGAAATACTCGTTAAATACTGTGTCAAAACAATGCCCAAAAAAGAGTGAAATGTGCAGTAGCGGAGTGCAAAACAGGTGAAACTGATGTACCTGTGAAGAGAGCTTGTTTTAAACTACCACCCCATTGTTTTAGAGGTTATGTAAGTGCTGTCAACATGACTTATGTACGAGCACAAACCTAAGGTAGTCGCTGTGTGGTCCACGGAGGCAAACAGCTGATATACTCGTTGCATAGAAGAAATAATCCAAAAAAATAAAAACAAACATTTGTAAAGCAAGCGCTGTGTCTCTTCGTGATTTATCATTCGGCATTAACTTTCAAAATTGTTGAACCACAAAAGCAAGTGCAATATGTTCAATTCATTGATATACTTTTTGTTATTCTATAACGGTGTACATGGATATACAATCTTGGGTGAGGAAACAGGTGATTCATAATTTTTTCAACAATACATTAATAGAACGTCAGTAGGGAAAGTATAATAATAAAACAATAAAAATACGAATAAAGCTTGTTTTTATTATCTTCAAGAATAAAAATTTGAAGAGTGTCAATTGTTCGGAATTAAATTGCGCAGGAAATGCGCAATTGATAATAATCTATTTGTCTATTAGTCGCCAATGATTGATTATTGATTTGCAGACCGAGAAAGACGAGAAAAATACAACTCAATGGATTCAATGATCGATAGTTCTCGGATCAATTCACTGGAGAATCTTCTGAGTGAACAAAATTCATTCGAAGATGCATTGGAGCACTGGACAGGTCGATGGATGCCAGATCATGATCCAGAGCCAACAGCTGCTCCAATAATTGACTCCGATCATTCTTCTATGCAAAGTGGCGTTGCAATGGGCCCATCTCATAATTGCGACGACGGACAAGTAATTGAAACATATTATGATGGAATGTTGAAATAAAATCGACTTTTAGCAAAAAATTCAACTTTCATGGACAGTTGATAATAATTTTCAGGAGAGCGCCATTGAATTCAATTTACGAGGGAAAATGTGAAATTTTTAAATTTCTTGAAATTTGGATGGGTATCCAAATTTTTAAGTACCAGAAACACGAAAATGAAAAACGTAGAGAAGTTTCTACGTGGTAATTGAATTTTCAATCGGAATATGAATATTGAGTATCAAATCACGTTGAATTCTACATTAATGTAAAATTCAAGGCTATATTCGTCTGAATTTTCCTGATTTCCATTTACTTCATGAAATAATTCGACTGACAGTTACAGTTTCCATTAATTTTTTTCAATTTTTTCAATAAAATATCGGTTTCATTACATTAGTTCTTTGAAATTTGGGAGTATCACTGGATAACAAATTCCAAGAAGTTTACCAGAGATTTCAGTAAAAAATTTTAACGTATAAAACATCTTCCCAATTAGGTTAGCTTTTGAGAAATTTTGGTAGAAGAAATATGATTTGAAATATGTCGTCATCAAAATCCCATCTTTCAGTTAGGTGAAGATGTTAATTGAAAGGGGGTAAACTGACTCATGCTGTTATGCTATTCAACTAACTTCAACTAACTTTTTTTAAATGAATTTGCAGAGGACTGAATTAAGGAAATATTCAGATATTCACATAACTTTTTCCTTCAATGACTATTGTTTTTTATTTATGTTCCAGACTAATTTACAGGTAGATTGGGACCATTCTCCAGTAAATTATACTTGTTATGGCCAGAAAATAACTCCAGATTCATCAAATGATCCTACAGTTTATTGTGAACATATTCCGGAAAATTATCAGGCGTTACATATTTGCATGACGAAGACTATTGAATATGATGATGTCATCCCGGTGTAGTAAGTCATTTACTGGAAATTGTGCAAATTAAATTACGTAGAAAAATTGAGAGTATCATTAATATGTTGTTCCGGTTTCTGTCCTTCAGTGGAAATCATCGCCCAGTATGGCCGGTCTACGGTGAATATATATTTCTTCCAAACCAACGATGGTTGCACAGCTTGGAGGTAACTATTCCAGATGCGAAAATTCTATTGAAGTAGTAATACGCAAGTAGTGCATTGGTCTTTTTCTGTTAATTAGAATACTAGTCAAAGGGTTCCGTGACTATTTAACACAAAATGAGTTCCACATACAATCAATTTAAAAGAAAATTAATCAAAATACGGATGAATGATTTCACACATTTCTGCACACCTACACATACGGGGACATTCCATGTCAACTCAGCCACACTGATTTTTTTTGGTTCTGAGAATCCTGAATTGGTATGCTCATTGACAAGTACTTCATAAGTACATACTTTCTCTAAATTTTCGTTCCTTTTAACATCAACATATCACAAACGTTCAAATCTTGGAAAAATCATATCTTATGGGCAAATTGACGAATTTTGATAAATAAAAAAGATTTTTTTTGTTTTTTTCGTATGAAAAATTTTTCGAATAAAAACACGACTGTATCATGCGAACAAATATGAGCCCATTTTTCGCCTTTTTAATTTTTGCTTCCGGATGGAAACTTTGTAATCGTGATTTTTTTTCGATTTCTTAATTTTGGATGGAAATACCTAGAAATGTCATGAAATGTGAAGAAATGGTGTTTTTAAAAAATGTCTGTATGTGTGTAGGTATGTGTGCACATGTGTGTTCGTATGTCTAGAACTGTCCCCATAACTCAAGAATGTGAGAAGAAAGAAATCGGTCCATTGTTTCTATTGAATGCTTCTCAATAAAAAAAACGTGGAAAGATTGTAACTCACTTACTTCAACAGCATGGTGGACTTGTGATGCTGTACCACCCGTGTGCAAATCCCCTGGAAGTGGAACGTCTGAAAGATTTAGTCAGAAACTGCCTCAGACGTCACGTCATAACGCCCTACAGTCTCATGAGTGAGGACCGGGTAAGTATATACAATTAAATCACATTCCTGTTATGAGAAAATTTATTCATAATTAATTGATCTTTACTGAATAATTCATTCAATTCTGTGTATTACAGCCTTTGGCACTGGTGGCCTGGGGATGTCGCCTAGAGATGTCATATGTAAATCCAAAAATTGTCCAAGACTTCATCCGAAGAAAGGCTCTCCGGGGTCCAGAGGCTATAAGCAGGGACGGCATCTTCTCGGACGGAATAATAAATAAATCAAAAATTGTAACAGACGAAGATGATACTACTCTGTGCCCTCAAAATTAATGTCATTAGTGTGCAATTTTCAAAACTTGATTCTTTCGAGATTCTGAATTTTCAAAATTGAATTTCTCTTCCACATTGGTCAGAGGGGAAAGGTAACTGCTTGTTTGGGAGAAATTTTATGGATTCCTAAAAAGTTCCTTGGATTTTTTTCTCGAAACTTCATAGTTTGAAGCCATTTGCCAATTAATCTCCATGAAGTTTTTGCACTAGAACTGGCAAGTTCTACACAAGTTTCCGGCTTGTCTCAATTGACCACTCCATCGCGTCATTTGAAACAATGATTTTCTCTTCCCACAGTATTTTATAATTCTGTACAATTCAACATATGGCATTTCGTTTATTCGGATCTCAATAATTTAACACGAGTAACTAAGCATAATAATACATCTTGTCTTAGTTGATCTAGTGGCCTGTAATTATCTCTATTATACTTTTCGTTTGTACAGATATTTATTGATTATAAAGAATAAATATATGTAATCTATGAATGAATTAAAAGCATTCCTTGAAGGAAACAGTGAATAATTCAGACAGGATAACAACAAAAGACTGTAATTCGCAGATTGAAGTTTTATTCCTCCCTCAAACAACATTTTTCTTCCCCTTAAACACACTGAACATGATTTAATTATTAAATCTCATCTCAAAAATGTAACTCGGTGTGGATTGCATCTAACATGCCGATAACTTTACGAATTTATTCAGTGCTGGATAGACTACATCATTGGAAATATATGCTTCATCTCTTTTATCATTTCGATTACATATAAAATCAGGGTAAAATAATTAATTAATGCTACTATCGTAATGTAAAATATACTGAACTACCTCCGATATAGTTGAGTGGGCCGTAACGTAAAAGAATATAATTGTTTGTAGATTTTTTTCAATGGTTTTGTTATTTCATGATTTCGGTGCATATTTGCATGAAAAGGGTTGATCTCTTCGTGTGCCCCATTAATGTACGATCAAACTGACCAGGTTCTTCAAGAAAGTTATGCTGATTTTTTCTGGGATTTTACAAACTGCGAATATTCCACTCCGCTGATAAAATTCAAGCAAGAAAGTCTTGCCCATCGATTTCAATCCCTTTGGGAAATCACTCCTTTATTCTCATACTGGAGAAATCTTGACTCACGAAATTGTTAGTCATTGAATAATGCCAAGAATTTATATGTGATTACTAAAGGTGAGCAATAGATAACTCCAAAGATGGCCTGCCAGTTTGATACGTGTGGAATTATTGATTTCACTATTGCTAGTCCCTAACTATCTACTAGTGAATGATTTGCCTTTTTATAGGATTACTTTGTGCTGCTCAGAGTGGAGCCTCCGTGTCACGATGTGTCGTGGGAAAGACTACATAAATGATTTTAATGATTTTCTTTTTCATCTGCAATAATCATCACTGTTTAAATAGTTCCACCCGTAGAAACATTATCTTTCAGTGTCGGTGGTGAATTTTCGCTCATAAAAATGGACAGGATTTTGTTTGTTACTTAGTTTGACAAAGTGAAAGAACTACTGAGGTGAAACCATAGTAAAGTAATTGAAGGAGATTCGTGGATTATTTCACAAGTAGTTTTGAAATTAACGTGTTTGGAAAAAAATATTGGAAGAACTTTTTTGAAAAGTTAAGCGATGAATTCTTATAAACCTCTCCATTCCACACATATTCTCGAAATAATTTGCTAATCAGTTTTGGAATTTTATTCCGCTTTTTTACTAGCTCCATTCTTTCACGCTTTTTCGCCAGTTAGAAAAAAAAGCCACACTGGATATGCTTTATTTACGGCTTTCTTTAAAGCGAGTAATGATTATGGAAGGCTGTTAAGCTTATTGCCAGCTTTGTACAATGTTTAATCCTTTTTTTCTCAATAATCAACTAAAATGATCTCCAACATATGACTCCTTACTTATCAATCATCAACTGACCATAATTATGAGATTGTAGTAATTGTATGTAATAGGCAGAAAACACCATGGATTTATTTAATAAGTAATTTCTTTAATACATTATCTTTATTTATGATTTTTGTTGTCTTTTCGTTTACTATGAAATACCTACAATAAAAAGTATTCGCCATATCTTTAAATGCATCCTCACGCTACATTTTCTTTTGAAGTATTTTTTTTTGTAATTAAATATTATCAATAATCTCACTTTGTCGCATGAATGCCGAAATGCCATGCAATTGCTTTCTGTTATCATCTCAGTAATTTATTTATTTTCCATTAATCTCATTGTTTCAGTTGGGGTTTTTGCATCTCAAAATCATGATTTTTCGTTTTTTTTTTTTTCATTAATAATTAATTTCTTTTTCATTTAATTGTTTTTTAAGTTAAAAGTGGAATTGACACTTATAAAGGTTATTCGAATAGCCTTTCATAGTAATAATTGCACCGATGTGACACGACCCATATACATTTTTGATGTTTATAGTATAGAATTGTAATATTCTTATCACACTTTCTTTTTTTAAATTAATTTTTTCGTCACTTTATTACATTAGTTTTCGCTTAATAAGTTATCTGGGACAATTTTCTGCTCTCCACGTCGCAAAACGAATCGACATTATTAATTTTCTTTATTTTATTTTTTTCACAGATTTTGGTTTTCCTACAAAAATGCAGATGGATAGCGTTTCAGCAATGCCAATTAACGATCATGATATTGCCCTTTCCTTCAGAAATAGTACGCGCGCAGCAAAAATGCGATAATGAGAATGCAAAGTATATAATGTAATTAAATATTATGCAAGAAGTCGAGGTTGAATGCTACGCTCTCAAGTCCGTAATATTTTTTTCATAAATGTTTTTTTTCGTTTTTATTCCATTTTTTTTCTCAATTTCATTTCATTTTTGGCAATAGAGAACATTATAATTGTCGACACTCAAAGACTATGTACGTTTTTTAATTTGGTGAGCCAAGTGCGCGTTATCTTATTACGAAACTACTACGAGTAAAATTGTGAGAAACTCGTAAAATTTTCTTTTTTCTTTTTTTTTTTTCTTTCAAAGGACATAACGCACATATTGGGGAAGACGATAGTTGATCTTCACACGTATAATCAAAAACACCAGTAGAATCAGAGCCGACAGAATATTGCTGATGATAGTTAATTAGCGTTTTTTTAATTATTATTAATGACACCAAGAAAATTTAAATCTCGATTATAAACTACACGTTTTTCGTCGTAATTCTTTCTCTTGCAATTTCATAGAAAGACGATCACTTTTTTTTCAATGGTGCCAGGAATTAAATCACAATAAAACGCTTAATTATAATGTTAAGTTGTTTATCCTCTTTTTGTTTGTTGTTTTTTTGGATTTTTTCTGTTATTTTTCAGTGCTCGCCGATGGTTTCATTAGGCAACCGATAAACGTAGTCATTTTTATAGTTACAATTACATTTTAATCATGAGTGACAGAAGACTAGACGCAGCGCGTGGCAGAGACGAGGTACATACACATCAACACAATTGTTTCATATTTTTCCGAGATTCTTTCTGTTTCAACCGTGAAGCTGTGAAACTTGACAGGACGAAACGAGTAAATTATTCACATTTTGTTGAACATGAGGTCATCTTGACAATCCCTACTGGTCGGGAAAAATTCCAAGAGAGATCTTGGGGTGTCAATTACGACAACTGAAATAAGGGTTCCAATTTTCTCCTCAAATCAATTGTCCTTGAAATAAATTGGTAATGAACGAAATTATGGAATTTTAAAATGACCTTTCAACACTTGACTACAGATCTTATTGCTGCATCATTTTTTTATTAAGTTCCAATTCTATTCATTAGTTGGCAGTGCCATTAGCTATGCCATAGTCTATGCCGCTCATGTTAACTCAATGTGATTCTCCGATTACAATAAAATGTTTCAAAGGTTCATCAAGGCGAATGGCACCTAGAGCATCAACCTCAACTTAACCAAGTTTAGGCCAAACTCGTTTAACACACACAGTCGATTGTGCATCTCTAAAATTTATATAACATTACTCAATGAACTTGTTGTCGTGTTTTTCTTCACCTTCTTTTTTTAATTATTATCTTTTTTATCTAATTGATAAGAAATTAACGTTTTTCCTTTTCATTATTTAATTATTTTAGTTAAAATTAATTTTTTCTCTCAATTCCTATGATGAGGGACGTTATGCTAGTCTAGAATTTTGAGATTCAAGCTAAACTTCTACGCCCAACTATTTATATATTTATAATATTTATATAGTTTGGTCATATTAGAAATTATCAGAGAAATTGTTTGACCTGATTTCTTCATTTTCGAGTTGTTTGTATATGTGAAGAGAAAAAGTATGCAGTGAAGTGGTTAAATGCGAAGAACTCCAAATTAATGTTTCACATTATTTTGGGAATATCTTTGAAATTAAATTGCGCTTAGGAAGGATGTTTCGGGTATTCTTTTAGTATATGTCTCAGTAAACTCGGAAGTTTCAGTGATATTTGCAGAATAATCTGCAATTCCATTCCATTAAACGTGATTAATTAAGTCATCACTGTTGAATCTCCGGGAAATGAAAAATTACTGGAAAATGAAGACCTCAAAGGAGAAACGACTCTGATAGTAACTGACTTGGCCTGTTTTTGTGACTAAAAGCGTGATTTTTTCATGAAAACAGTAGCATCACTGGACTTGCATAAATTATGTGTTCACTCAGAAGATTAATACGGCAGTTATGGTAAACTTTATTTTTGTTAATTTAAGTTAATATGATTACTTAACTAAAGTTATGAGTCGTTGCATTTCACTGGGAAACTGGGTCTCATTATATCCCAAGCCCAGCAATGTACTTTTTCCGCTCAATGTAAGGTCAAGAATCCCACGAATGCAATTTAATGATTTGCCCCCTCCTCTTTGTGATGGCTTCAATTATATTAAAAATTTACAGACTGATTGAGTAATCGTTAGAGATAGATCATTATTTCGACAGTACTTTTTTTTCTTCAAACACTTTCTTCTAATGAAAAAATTATTAGCTTTAGTGACAAGAGCTGACCTATCTAGAACAAAAAAGTTGATTCAGCCGCACAATATAAATAAGAATGAGAAAAAATGCCGTACGAATTTTCAACCACGAAGCAAATGATACTTTTATAGATTCAAATTTCACTCAGTGGAGACACAGTACATGACAGAAGATGAGTCCAGAATGCATTTGCAGACAATTTTGTGATTAACTGAAAATCAAGAGGCTTAGAGGAAAAATGGTGAGACAATTTTTTTCAAAACAATTTCGAGAACTATAAAAAGGTCCTTCGACATTTTTGGCAAACGTCACACTAATTTTCGGAATAACTGCAGAGAATTTAAGGTTTTTATAACTATGTCTCCTCTAATTTGCCAATTGTCAAAACTATTTGAAATTATTACCTCAAATGCACGACAATAAAAAATTAACAAAATCGTACGGTACACATTTCTTCCAGCCCTACCTTAATAGGATTCCTCGTAGATATTTAAATTGTGTTTGTCTATGAGAGACTCCTATACATCTTTCATTATTTAAGACTTCTTTTTCCCATACTTAAGTTACTCTGAAGGAAAAAGCGCTTTATTCAATGAACACCGAGAAAGCTTATGCAATGGCTTGCTTCATTGCAGTGAATATCACTGCAAATGATTTAAAAATTTTCCCCTTTTCTCTTTTTAAGTTCTCACAACTTTAATTCACTTCAAAGTTCATTTATATGTATCACGCCCGCACTGCCATATTCATCAGATTAGAACTCGTAATTTGCAATGGTGACTGCTTGACAAATCGATATAATCCACTTTAATCATGTTTTTTTTCTGTTTTTTTAATCATTTTTCATTTTAGTCGTAATTAGTATAGGTAAATAGATAATAACATAGCTACCTAATCTAACAATTACATATTTCTGTACAATTTGAGGTGATGACCGCAATGTCAAATGCTTTTATTCATCCTCATTAATGATAATTATTGTTATATTATTTTTTTTACCTTTTTTTTCTCATCCCCCAATAAAACAGTTTAATGCATAATATCATTTCAATGGTATTTCTCTCAACTTTGGTATGATATATTCAACAAAACGTTATAACATTAATTGGTTATTCTTTACCAGTAAAGTAGGCAATGCCAATTCATTTTTTTATTCTCCCCTCCATTCATGTCATAATCTTTCTCTCACTATTAATATTCCTCCGCGCTGTTGCATTATGTTTTCAGTACTGCTTTATTTCTATTCATCGCCGCAGCATTTTCATATATACATGCATATATGTAGATATAGTGTGGCCAAATGTTTCTTTTATAATTCATTAGATCGATGAAAACAAAATCGACACATTAGGTTCTTTTCTTCATTTCGAATAGGTCTCGAGATAACATCTATGTTAGAATATTTATTTATTGCTGCAGCAAAAATTTATATAGTTTTAAGTCGCCATAGACATGACAAAGGGTCAGTAACGACGTGAAAATCGGCAGAACTGTAACTTTTTCAGATCTTATTTGTGATTATTTCCCTCCTAATCTTTTTGTCGATTTTCTCATTATTTTATTTCTGTTACTTCTGTTTGTTTCTACTAATGCTTAAGTTTCCCGTGGTGAACCTTTCATATAATATTAGCTAATTATGTTTATTACTCGGCGCGTTATCAATTGTTAATTTCTCATTTCCCGTCATTTGTCCGTGTATTTTTTCACAAATCAGAGTTAACGGCAATAGTTGTTTCTTCGTTAATGGAAATTAATATATGAGGATTTTTGTGGATTTAGATTTTATGGAGGAGTCGACGCGACGAGTGTAGTGCGGAGACTTGATTGTTATGAAGTTCTAGTGATAAATGGAGGATGAAGATGATGGTCGTCTCGCGGGCTGGTCGCATTGGTGGGTAGTTGGTGGTAGTGGGTGATTTGCGAGATGAGTGATACTGATCGACGGCGAATCGAGTGCGCTTTATCCACCATGTGATGCGGGCGAGCGGTGAAAAACCATTACCCGTGAAGTGACCTTAAAAAAGAAGAATAATATTTTTGTTATTAATTGTTAGAATGAGATGGCTTTTTTTAATCAGAAACTGTGAATTCAGTGGGAAAGTGGTCAGAAGAGTTAAGTCAGTTCTATTCGAGAATGAGGGTTTGATAAATATCTTTGCATCTGAAGGAAATACGAAAATTTTTCTGAGGACTTGTTTCGAGAGCTGCAAATCAGACATCTATTGAAACGTTTTGTTCTCCTTTAGATTCCGAGATATTGAGAAAAAATTCAATCGGACTTGTTTCACCCGAACACTCCAATACTGAATTGATACACTTATTGTTAAACATTTTATTCATTCCTTTTCGAAAATTTTTCGCGGTCGAGAATAAGTTTTGTCACATTTTTCTCTGAAACTGCATAGTTGTCATATAGTTGGAGAAGGATTCGATTTCAGTACTCCTCTCTTTAATCCAAAAATTTAATATTCATTATGTAGCGCCGATCTCTCAAGGGATTATGGTTACACAGAATTATGAGAATTTTTTTATCTACTAAATATTCTAGGAGAAAGACCTTACAAAATTTTCTTTTAGCAACCTCGATCAAGGCGTATTTTCTTTTCTTACTCCGCCATAAAATTACGTTTGTGAGATTTTTGTATCAAAAATTTACCATCCAATTTAGGAAGATTCACATTTGAAAATATGAAATCGACTGGAACAAAGTGATAAATAGACACAAACACGGAAACAAAAAATGGTTCACAATCTAATAATTATCTTCTTGATAAATCAATTCATCAAAATTATTAATATTTCATATTATACCTGAATTGGGTGTTCAAAGTCCAAAGTAACTGCCGATGGTGGTAGCCACAATCACCGCGAGAATTGCGAGGCAGATCATGATCATAATCTTCTTCTACACTCGCCCAAAACAGAATAATTTATCCACATTTAATAAATTCAATATGAATGGACACAAAAAAAATCACATTTGATCCATCTGAGTGTCACAACAGGGACCGTAGTAACTCTGTTTCTTTCTTTTTTTAATTTGTGAGACGTTTATTATCGATTTTATCGAATATCTGAAGGCGATTATGCTCTGTCCATTACTCCCATGATATTCACCGTGGAACTCATTAACATAATATAAACCCTGTACGAAGTTTCATCAATGGCATTTACTCTATCAATAAGCCACTTTAAATTGCGTTTAAAAAAAGGAAAATAGACGATTGGTGAGAAAATACGATAAAAACATTTATTTACATTAATGATACGGAACAAAATGAACTAAGACTAAGAAAAGGAATTAAAATTACCGATAATAAATACTCCAACTTCAAGCGAAAATCTCTCGTGATTGAAGAATGATTAAATAGAATGATGAAATACATTTATTAGATGTAAATGAAAGAATGTTTCTCCTGCCTGTCAAACGACATTCCAATAATTCCACGACTTTTCGACTGACAAATGTACTCATTAAATTACTATGTAATCATTTAAATGCTCCAAAATAATATGTGAATTCCCACAACCTCAAATGCAGATTTATCGGAATGAATGGGATTGTGCACAAAGAGTCAATGCACGACACAGAATAACCAAGAGCGTGATTCTCAAGAAATTCCAGAAATATTTTCCTAGTTTTTCTCCCTTCTTTCCAAATGCAGAAAAGAACAAGATGTACTTCCACATCGATCGGCGTACCTTCGCGTGTTTTTAAATTAAATGTACCTGGTATGTGTTATCACATATGTACATCTGTATCTCGACCTTCTCATCTAAAAAAACATGCGCTTTATACATAATTCCGCTGTTTTTTTTAAATAAAGAAGTAATAGATTAATGTTGAACGGCACTTTGTATGGGAATACAATAGATGATAAAATAATTAAATAATGAAGGGGTATAACGATTCAAGTGAAATAATAGCGCCGAGTCTTTAATAAACATGTAGATGTTGGGACCAAATGGGCCTTTTTGAAGATTTACAAAATTAAAAAAAAATCAATTGAATTGTAATAACCTCGACTTATCGACTATCAAAAATAGTCCATTTTCCTCCACTCTCCTTAACTCTCAAGTCTGAGTGATTTCAAAAGGAAAGATGAAAAAAACTTTTTCCAAGGTGAAAAAATATCCCTTTGAAAAGATCCCTGATAATTCTCATTAAAACTAATTATTACCACAATAATTTCTCAAACATTAGGCAGATGTGATGTGGCAGCTCAAACCGTTTTGCCCCTTCTTTATTCACTTGGAACCTGCGCTACAGCATTAAAAATAAAAAAAAATCGATTTAAAGAGAAAGAAAAACAGGCGTGTATTTCCATGTAATTGAAATATTGAAGCAAAGATAGTAGTCATCACAAGAATAACACTGAAACAGTTTGCACATCGATACTTACTCAGACTGGCACTTGAACCCATTTAGCACGCAATGACAATACGAATGTTATCGTCGGGTTCCTCTTCGCTTCAGTCTTGCATCAAATCGATCGAAATTATCACTCAATTGCTCATTATTTCTTCATTAATTTCCATCTGTCCAAGGTGCGACGCGCGTTAATAACTCGTAGATTTACAATATTCTCTGACTTATACATTTTTATACATTATGATAACCAGTTTGTATAAACTATACTATTTCATTGTCAACCATAATTATTGCATTCTGTTCACCACGTTCTCTATTATCTTGAAATATTTAGTCATTATAAATTATTTAAATAAGTAATTGTTCATCATTAATTAATTATTTATTAGTCACTTTTAAAGTATAGAGTATTGCCCGCCAATTAATCATGAATTTTATCCTCAAAGGTTAATTATCTTTTTCGACTATTTTCCTTTGTCAATTTAGCCTCACAAACGCTATCCTACAAGCGCATTCTTTCTTCTTTTTCACGTTTTACCTTACAAGTACCCATACAGTAATGGTCTACCTTGTGTCTACAAGTATTTCATTCAAAATTTCGGTTCTGACGATAATCATTATTTACATTGTGACATGGGTAGAGTGACAGCGGGTTCGACAGGGCCCACCGTGATAATGCGACCTGAATTAGTATTTATTGCATTACATATTTATTTCACTAACAAGGATGTTCTTTCATGTTGCGATTCATTCATCTGTTTGTCGATGATGAAAAGAGAGGTCTAATTAAATTATTCCCCTCTTCACTACTTATTATTTTCGACTGCCAGGATACGTAATTCATGCTCAGTTTTGTTTGGTGAATAAAAAATACTGGAGTATAAAAATAAAATGAAAAATGTATGAATGTTCATTCCTCCATGATTCTTTTCAATTCAAGCTTTAGGACTAGAAATATTGAACTAGTTTTGTGACCTACAATGTGATGTTATCTATTTATTTCAGTTTTTCTTTTGAATGATCTAGAGATATCACTGGATATAACTAGGTCCAGAACTAGGAACAAAGGCAGACACATTTATAACTATCAGACAAAAGCCAAAATGCATTTCTGTAGCGAATATCGATCATCGTCTGGACATAATTCCGAAACTAGTTGGGTTAGAGAAAAATTTCAAGAGTACATGACATTTTTAACAACAAAAATCTTCTGATATCATTCCCTAAACCTAATAGTTCCAGAGATATTGACTAAATATGATCCTCTCTCAACACTCCCTACAGAATTTTAAGTCGAAGAATGAATATTGTATCACTTGGCAGTCATCAGTGGGTGAAAAAAAATCTAAGTACACTCGCTTCACTCATTCACTAATGTTTTTTTTACCTAAAAACGTTTGTTACCCGCAACCCACTTGTTCTCCATTCGTAACAACGAATGTGTTCATTGTTTAAGCTAATCAATGTAATCCATTATCTACTTTCTCTGCCATCTTAAATCGCATATAACTAATGCAATTATAATGGTCCTGCCAAACGGTTTTTATCAATTCATTAATTAACGATGTGACGTTCATCTCAATGTGACAACAAGAATAATAATCAAAATGATGACTGCTACCGTCAGGCAGACTACGATGAAGATGAGTTTCTGTGAACAAAATTAATAATTCTTTAAACATTCCCCGTCGGTTTCTAAAGAATGTTGACCAATCACCAATAGCGGAGATACTCACTTCGAGATGATCATTCACTGGAAAATCTTGAAAATCATCAAACAAATAAGCATCTTGATAATTTGAGTATTAAGTATTGTGCAAAGACACTGTTGACACCTTTGCGTCTAATTGACAATGTACTCAGCTGTTTCTCGAAGTGAGTAGCTTCAATTTAAGAGAAAGCCGCCTTGTTAATTTGTTGCGTTCAGCTGAGAAGTTTATGAAGCATTGGGTGTTCGGAATTTGTTACTTTTCATGACGGTTGCGTGAAGGAAATGAGGATCGATCGTCCGTGGCCTCGCCCGTTGCAACCTTAGTATACAGGTTTTAATCTATAGCATCGTGAGTCGAATGGTTCAACTATTGGTTATTAATTTTTCATTCTGCATTGGAGTGACTAAACGTAATGAGTAGTCATGAATGATTTTAGGATAAAAATAAGAGGACTTTTTTCGTTAAAAAATTTCTGCTTGATATTTTCTTCTAGATCTATGCAAACTTAAGACAATCGCATTATCGAGAATGATTTCATCTCCTACTCATTGAGATTTATCACTTCAATTCCAAATTACTGCCAAAGTTATGTGGACGAGGCTACGAGATTAACGAATTGAGCACTCGAATTGTCGTTGAATGCTCTCGAGTGGTTTCATTTTTTTTTCTAATTCTTTAAAGTTTGTTTTGTTAATTAACAACACTCATAATGAGTCAATTCTCCGTACTGAACATACATATAATTGGGAAGCACGTATCTTACATATAAAATAGGCGTTTTTGTTTCACTTGAACAACACTCCCTTCGGCGACGAATTTCTACTCAACCTGGCAGTTGATGATTTTTTAAAATGTAAAATATAATCAACAAATTTCTAGGGTTTCAATTTTGAGGTTTCATCCGAGGGCGTAGAGAGTGTCGGGTTATTGACCAACAAAATCATTGCCAGGGATTCTCTGCTGTTGTATTCATGTGAATATAGTAATGGCCAATTTCACCTTCAATTTCAATTAATTTTTTATGTAGTTAATAAGAGTGAATTTTGAAGTGAAAATTTATGAAAAACTTATGGTTCTGACTGATTCAGTTTTGAAAATGAGTAGAGAGTAAGAAAATTTTAGAGAATGGGAACTCTTTGTTTAGAATATATGAAACCCAAAATTTAACATAGATAATTTTACCAACTTGAAAACTAATAAGCATAGAGAAAAATATTTGGAGTTTTCTTTCTTCTGAAACATCTGCAACATTTCCCACCGTTGAAGAATATTCACAAAATAACCTGCCAATCTGCTTTCTGTTGATCCTTACCACGAAATTCAATTTGATGTTTAATCCCGACATGGTTTTCGAAATTGAATCTTCAATCCCCTTTAAGTTGCATCATAAATTCGAAATCTCATAGACAATCCTACTTTGAAGCCAATTCGAGATGAGTTATATGCTTTTCAATGAAATTGAAAATACAAATTAATAGTGAAACAAAAGGTGAAAATAATACTGAATTACTCGCCGAATCCTCTGTAATGTATTTGAGTCACCTAACACTGAGTGAAATGTATATAACGATCAATGGAGATTCATTAATTTTCAGTTTATATGAGATAATGGATCTCATATAAACATTAGACTGTTGCATTAGAGTGTGCCATTAGTGTTGTTAATCGGTTATTCAACTTAACGCTCTGATGATTATTTGCAATGATTATTTTCACTTTTTTTTTCATCTTCATGTTAGTGTTGACAGTCCTTTTTCGCATACTTTCAACTGCAAATCTCGTGCCAATTAAATTTTTTTTTTTTCTTACACTTGCGGTTGGGCATCACAAGTAGTAATTTATTTTCACTCTCACTCTCACTCTCACTCGCCTATTCATATAACTATTACAATTTCTACAATATTAGTATTATTATTCTCTTTACACTCCATTCAGTCGTTTAGGACATTGATGGAAGGCACCCTATCACAATGCAGATTAGTATGATGGCGCTTATTATGACGCAGATCATAATGAAGATCATTTTCTGTGGACAAAAAAGCACAGAAAAATGTTTGCATGAACAAGGGGTTAATTTCTCAACTAATTCAATCATGTATCACTAATTACATCCGAAATCAATTTATAGTATTAGAACAGGGAGAAAAAAATACCAAGAAAATGATCTCATTTTATCGTGCGAGCACTCTAAGCTCAGTGGTATTTTTATCTCCGTAAAGCTTTGAGAATAGATAAATTTTGATAAATCTATAAAGGTAGAAAGAAAAGAATAAAATTGAAGAACTGTTCAAAATGAAAATAATCGAATTTTCATATGAGGAAAGCATAAAATTGTGTTTCTTGGTAATTGTTCTCACTACAGTGTTCTGCAGGCAAGGGATTCTCCAGTAAGACAAGAAGATTTGTTTGAGTTTCGTGTGTATGTAAATATGCAAGTATGAAACAGTCCAAATAATGTGTCCGAGAGAGTACAATAACAGTGAATTACTGAAGTAAAAGTGTCTGATTTCATATGCTCTTTCATGTATATTATTCATGGGGACCTTTTGTGTGCTGTTCCAGTGTCTGTGTTTGGGGGTAAATGAGTTTTCTGCGCGAGGTGAAACAATTAAACAATCCACTTTGCTAAATTGTGTTTATTCAATCAAGTCGACTTATTTTTTGTTTTCATAATTCACGAAAATGGATTTTAATTCATGCTATACACTGGTAAAAAATTTCGCATTGAAAAAAAAAATTGAACAACACATATGTATCTTCTTATGTTCTTGTAAAATTTACATGACAGATTTCTTACTCTGGGAGTAATCAACTCAATACGAGCTTTACTCATTTGTAAGTTATCTAGAGAATCATTAATTTTGAGGGAAAGTGTCAAGAGATGATTTTTATATCATTTTTTCGTTCTCATAGCGTTTTTGAATATTATTATTGAATTTCAACACAAAATTAACAAAATTAATATGTTTGGAATAAATAAGATCATGACAGCTTATCACTAAACCTTTCATAAAGCTTCTAAAATCACTAATAGCAAAGATATACTGATAAACTTTTGCAGACCTCTTCATTCCAAAGATATACCCAAAATATATAATTAGAAATTCGTTACAATATCATGCGAGTAAATTTCTAATTCATCTCAATGACAACGAATGAAAAATTCTACCAGTGTCTAAATGGATCTGGCGTGCGTATATTAGCTACTGGGCTGTGCATTCGATATTCCATGATTACTACTTACTTCGATATTATTGATAGGTTATAGCAATAAATAATCATCGTAATCTCTCTACAATGAGACGCAATCAATTCTACACATCACTTGTATCCCTCTAACAAGAGAACACACTTGTCTACCATCGAACGTCAATGAATAATCCTATCTCTTCATCACACACTTGAACCTCAATAGTGAATGAAGAAATACGGAAAGGACCATCAGGGATACTTGAATCCCGTAATAAATCGAGTAAGCATAATTCATTAATTGCACTAGAGGAAACGTTAATAGAGGAATTAGGATGAGGATATTCCGATTGCAGTTGTCCTGCACTTTTCATCATATTCATTACCTTGCGGGCTTTAGTCTGATACTCCTGGGCCTTCCTCAGTTCGCCCCTTGCTGAGCCAACGTGATCGCCAGTTTGGGTGACGCAGTATTCTATGCTGTCTACCATATCACCCTGCCACATCGCGCAGGTGGATGGGGGATGATCAGGAATGAGGGAATTGGAAGGACAGATCGGGCCAGAAAAACGCGACGAAACGAAACGAATTTTTTCATTTTTTTTTCGAGACAATCGAAAGATGCAACATCAAACATTTAACCGTTTCGATTGCATTTACGAAAGGGAGAAAGGGAGTTGTTGGATGATTTGCACAAGGGGCGTATGTCCCATAAAGTGATGTTAACAGATAATTGTACACCAATTACAACAATTACAGTACGTGTTTCAGTGACGCATTATTTTTGTTGAATATTTTTACAGCACCAATCAATTACAATTGGCAGAGTTAGTTTAGATTGTTTTTGAGAATTTGAAAAAAAAAGTAGTATCACAGAGCAGTAGTGGACAGAGGCGAGACACACATCAGCACAATCATGGTAACAGGAAAGAGACACAGAGTTTTTTTTTCCGTTAATACATGCATATAAACATATTTACATGTATCGAAGGTATGTAGATATATTTATAAGCATTCGTTTTTTTGTTAATAAATGGTAGTTTTGTTAGATTTGTTACATTAAGCATTTTACACACACACACATGAATATAATTTTTTTTTATATCACAATAATCATTATTGTTCAGTTATGACCATGAAAATGATGAAAGAAGAATTAAAGCATTTTAGTAGAAAAAAAAAGAAAATGTGTGTAGAAAAAAAAAGATTGGCAGTAAATAATTTTTTTTAAGAGTTTTGGTGAATAAAATCAAACGGGTGAAAAAGATGAGGAGATGGAGAGGTGGAGGCGGAGGTGCGGGAAGGTGAGGAAAAAAAAACGTGACCAATTAGATGTGAGTGAACTCAATAATTTTTTATAAATTCGGGGTGGACTCACCCGTCGAGCTTTGCTTTGATACTTGAGGGCTTTCTTGGTGTCCTGCGTGGCTGTCTGCACATAGTCGACTGCGTGCTCCACGTGGTATTCAATGCGATCAATCATCTCGCCCTGATTTTGTTTTTTATTTTTTGTTGGTACGCGGCGCAACCCCACCAAGGCACAAAGGCAAAGGTGTTAGTTTAAAGTACGTAGACATTAAAATATTCGTTGTGTCAATTATCATGCAACAGTTTGATCTTCATACTATAATATCATGCAATTTAGTCTATTAATTATTTTGATTATCATTATTTTTTGGAAAGAATTCTATTAATTGTTTTTGCATATTTATTCGAAGCGTGAGTTTTAACTTCTGCAGATTATGAAGTGATACATGGAGAGAAAAATTTTCAACAGATTGGAGGATTTTTTATTCAATGTCAAGATGATTTAATTTCGAGTGGCAGAACTTTTTTTCTCTCAGCGTTTTAACACGAGTATATTTGCTGAAATGAAAAAAACCTCATCTTTCTTTTTCTCTCTTTGTATACACTGGAAATTTTTAGACATAAATGGTTAGTATCACCCACAGAGAAGCGCCGCGACCTATTCTCGTAATTACGAGATGAAAATAAATTGTAAAAATAAAAAAAAAACACTAGTGCCACGGGTTCACGCTGTTGACTTTGAAAATAAACTGCAGATATGGTCGTGGGCAGCGAAAGGTCATTTGAATGTATCAAATTTACGAATTGGCGCATTTATTTTTATTTTTCGGGGAAAGAGACATTTCTAAGGATTGGAGTGTTAATTGACAACTCCCCGATCTCCGTTCATCAATGATTGAATTCAATTTCTTAAAAATGTCTCTTTTTATTCGGCTGAAAACTAAAAACGTCGCATTATATTTCCGGAGAGAGAAAAAATAGATAATTCGATTCTTTGTTTTTTTTCTGTAGATGTTTCAATGTTCGCATGTACCGAGTGAAAATTTCACTAGTTGTGACTCTCTCAAGTCAACATCTTATGACATATCCTGTGTCTTACCACAGTGGTCCAATTTTTTCACTAGTACCTAGTAGACAATATATGAGAAACATTAATCTTCTGACGATTTTTCTATTTCCTACCATAATTCGAACAAATGCTCAATATAACTTAACGGCTTATCGGGCTAATACTCTCATATAATGGAACTACCAATTAGAACGAATATTTCAAGGAATTCTTTTTTTTAATCGGTATTTTCACATCGCTTCGACCCGGTTGGGGTATGCTGCGATGATGATCAAGATTTTAAATGGTTAGATCTCACCATTCTACCCGGCCGGATTTTGAACCTTTCGCATGTGAGGCAACGAACTTACCCACTGCGTCATGCCACCGGGCTCAAAAAAAATTTCCTTTGAGGAATTCTGTAGTGAAATGATAAGAGAGAATGAGCCAATTTTTCATCGATGTAGTATTTCATCTCAAAATTTAAGACAGTAGAATTTTTATGTAGAATTGTTTTTATAGACCTTGTATTCGTTCTACAAAACACTTTTACGAAATTACCTTCGTTTCGCTCAAATGACAAAACGTCCATTACAATCGGGTGATCTCATTCTACCAATTTACTACTGCAGCAAAGTGATATTATATCGATTTGCCCTAAGGTTATAACACGACTGAGTAATGTAAAACTATGAGAATATTTTTTCATATCTAATATTAAACAGGTCAAGTAGCGAAAACGTATCATCTTCATTGATTGATAACCATGAAAAAATGAAGAATTTCTGTACGGAAACTGTCAATTGCGCAATGAGCTTGTCATAACTGATTATAAGACTATACAGGACGTAATCATCTGATCCTGTCTATTTCGCAATCTATAATTTTTTCTCTCTCTCTCTATATATTGCCTCAAGTTGAAGACTGAGTTGACACAAATAAATGCATTCAACGTAATAAATAATTAATAATAATCATGAAAATGATTTTCCAGCTTACCTGACTTTCAACTAGCATAGCCATATCCATGAACATATCGTGTAGTTCCCTGATGGAGTTCTCTAATTTTATGATATCTGCGTGACGTGCCTCGATGTCTGCAAGTGTCTGTTTGGCTTGTTGCGTTTCCATAATAATCTAATAATCCCAAAGAAATTGAAACTTATTATGTCGGTAAAAAATTCGACTGCAGGCTTTAACACCGACCCAGCATTTTCTTGACAAAGTGACCTGTGACAAAGTGAGCATTTTACCTCTTGCTCACTATGCAGTTCGTTCATTTTCGACACACATGATATATTGCATTAAGGAGAGGCTATTATTATATGAGTTTTAAATGTCGCGGGCGATTGGAGTGAGATTTCTCATAAGTTGAAAATCGATTATATGTGTCTGAAAACGAATAATTAGTGCGAAAATAGTATATTTCAGCACGTCTGGGGCAATTTCGTCTTTAACGTGTGTGGGGTTTACAGCATGAGCCGAAGGCGAGTGATGTAACCACACACGTTAAGGACGAAATTTCCCAACAAGTACTGAACAAAATTTTATGTCAGAAAGCCTGAAACGCTTCGCGTCTCGTGTCTAATTCAGCCGGTTTCAGGCATGAGTGGCATAAAATTAATTGTTTAAAATGTTACAAATAGTCCAGGGCCTCCAATGTTTGCGCTACAGAGGTTTCTTTTTCTTCAAAATCTTTCAAAAATTGTGTGCAATAATAATTACGAATTAAGCTGGTGGCGCTTGTGAGGGACGGTTGAGTCCTTGGGTGCGTCTTCAGGTTTTGGGGGAAAATCATGGGCTTTTTGGATGAAATAATTGAAGAAAAGTGGTTTTGGGGGTACCCTTCAGTGTAATCTACGGAGGGAATAATGAATTGGGGGGAAGATTGAACATTTTGGGGAGGTTTTTCGACTGGTTCTAGGGACGCTGGC